TAGCTAGTTTCTTGTACTTTTGACAGTGCTGTCAGTTTTCTAACAGCTATAAATGTTTTATATTCTTTCTGGGAAGGTGGAACAGGGGAGCACATAGCTTATGTATAAATGATCATATGTCCCAGTTGGCCTGAGACAGTCCCTGTGTCCCAGTGTAATTATTAATAGCACCCTTTCCATTCTCTGAAGTGTCCTGGTTAGTATGAAGTATTACATGGTCATTTCACTTACACACCCAAACCAGGGAACACAATGAAGTCATCAGAAATCATGTTTTAGACTATTTGATGATGCAAGAAGATATCAATGCTATACTGTTTAAGTAGAAAAAAGATTAAAAAGCAGTAAATATATTATTTACAGTTTTATACATTAAAATTGCTTTCATATTTGTATGAAAAAGACTGGAGGAAAATGCATTCAAATGTTAACAGTGGTTACTACTGAGTGGTTAGATAATGGATACTTTTATGTTTTCTTTACATTTTTATCTTCCAAATTTTCTATAATGAACATATATCACCTTTACGGTTAAAAAAAAACAGCGATAAGGAAGAGGAGACAGGGAATACAGGCAACTCATTTGGTTGTCACCACTGTTGTTTAATAAGAAGGGGGAAAGAATGGGGAAAGACCTGATTGTGAAGGAAAGGTTAAAAATGTAAATCAAAGAAAAAGGCAAAATTAAGAGAGTAAGGTATTAAGAGAAAATGAGAGTGTTAGCATCAAGAATACATTGAGGAAATTGGACACGAACAACACATTGCATGCCTCTTTCAAAGACTGTAAGAAAGGAGGAAAGGGTGGCTAGAGAGTTTTTAGGGGTGGGGAGCAAAAGATCTCCCAGAAGCTATAGCAGCTCCTCCTGAAAACAGAAGGGCCACAGAGCTTAATAAGCATCAGTCAATTTCTTTGAGTAGATTCTTCATTTATCGTATCACTTTTTCCTTATAGATAACATCATAAAATTATGAGCTTCTGTATCAAATAACATGAAGTATTTTTATTATATAGCTTCCTGGTTCAGGTTTTTGTGGGATTTTTAAAGAACGTTTTATTTTTATAGTACAGATTGACTGTTTAGTTTACTGAACACCTTTGAAAAGTAATTTTTCCCACCATCATTACAAACTCCCAGGATGCTTGGAAGACTAAGGAATCAAGGTCAGCTCTATTCACAGGCCTAGTCTTGAGCCTTCATCCTCTTACCCGATAACAGGATATTCCCAGTCCTAGCCAGGTAAGGCATGTAGGTGATCTCTTACAGGCTTGCAGGTAGGTTTTCTTTGCCTTTTCATACTGTAGAAAGAAAGCACCACTAAGCTATTGTTCTTCTGGAAGTTTCAAATGCTATATTGCTAGGATAGTCATGGGGCTTCTGTAGTTGTACTCAAGACCAGTCTAAGTTAAATGAGCCCTTAAACTGTTTTGTTTTTGTTTTTTTTAAGGCACAAGGTTTTTTTAGAGCAGTTTTAGGTTCACAGCAAAATTGAGAGGAAAGTACAGCAATTTCTCATATACCCCCTGCTGCCACACATGCTTACTCTCTCCCATTATCAACATCCCCCATCAGAGTGGTACCTTTGTGACAACTGATGAAACTACATTGATACATCATCATTACCTAAAGTCCATGGTCATATTTGGTATTATACATTCTATAGGTTTGGATAAATGTATAATGACATGTATCCATTATTAGAGTATTTTCACTGCCCTAAAAACCCTCTGTGCTCCATTTATTCATCACTTCCCTTCCCCAACCCCTCAAAACCACTGATCTCTTTACTGTCTCCATAGTTATGCCTTTTCCAGAGTGTCATACAGTTGGAATCATACAGTATGTAGCCTTCTCAGATTGACTACATTGACTTAGTAATATGTATTTAAGCTTCCTTTATGTTTCTTCATGGTTTGCTAATTTATCTCTTTTTAGTGCTGAATAATACAGGAAACATTCAGAAAAACTCAAAAAACAAACTTCCAAACGAATTAGACAACTTCTTATCTTGCATCTCCAATATGAGAGATGTAACTATACATAAGCCTCAGCAAATAGGCTAAGAATTGCTTGCCTAGTGAAATTGCTTGCCCAGTGACTACGTATGTCAGAAGCTTGGTTCAGATGCAGCTTGCAATGATGTCAGAAAGAAAATTTCTTATATACTTCACTGCAATGGGATAGTGATTTTTCGCTCTTAAGCCTTTGGGCCTTCATACTTAAATTATAAGGCAATGCAACTTCTTGTTGCTGCTGTTGTTTTATTTTATAAAGATTTTATTTATTTACTTGAGAGAGAGAGAGAGAGAGAGGGCACAAACAGGGGGAGCGGCAGGCAGAGGGAGAGGGAGAAGCAGACTCCACACTGAGCAAGGAGTCCAATGCAGGACTCTATCCCAGGACCTGGGATCATGACCTGAGCCGAAGGCAGACACTTAACTGACTAAGCCACCACACATCCCTTTATTTTAAATAGAAAGATAATTGGGTGTTCTGGGGGTAGAAATGGAATGAAGTAAAAACAAAAGCACGAAGTCAAAAGGCAGAACGTTGATAATTGTTGATATAGGATGATGGGTCCATGTTGGTTCATTTCTACTATTCTGTCTACTTTGTATCTATTTGGGGTTCTTTTTGTTTTTTGTTTTTTAAGTAGGCTCCATGCCCAGCATGGAGCCCAGTGCAGGGGTTGAACTCACAACTCTGAGATCAAGACCTGAGCTGAGGTGGAGAGTTGGATGCTTAACCGATTGAGCTACCCAGGTGCCTATACTTTGTATGTATTTGAAATTTTCCATAACAGAAAGTTTCTTTTAGAAGGTCATAGGGTGATTCCTAAAATATGGAGAGTAATTGCTAAAGAGTCAGGTTAGAGTTCCCTGTGGAATGGGGTTAGCCTTAGCTGGATTAAATATAAACCTTTATGTTGAGGAAGAAGTTTGAAGAAGTTCTTTTGACATTTTCCATTAGTTAAGTCAAGTAAGAATGTTTCTACTACTGCTAATAAAAGAAAGTTAGCTTAAATATTAACTACAATAACATTTATTGAGTTCTACACAACTTTTTAGTATCATAATGATTAAAACCACAGACTCCAATATTAGACTGCCTGGTTTTGAATCCTGCTTCTATTAATTACTAGTTTATCTAGTGTTGGTCAAATCACTTTATCTTTGGAATATAAAAGTATCAATATCATATTACTGTGTTACTGTAATATGTATGTATTGTATGTATGTATCAATATTGTACGTAATACATATCAATATCATATTACTGTGTGATGGATGTTAATGTTTGAACTGTATTCGGGTCCCAGACCATGACCTGATTTATTTACATGGTTACTCTCCATCCTCTGTCCCTCACCTCTTTCTCTTCCAGATAGATGTGCCCCAGTCGCAGGAAGATGAAGTGCATCTCAGAAGCATCCACTACAAAACTAATGGTTCGCTCATAGCATGCCTTGGCCTCAGCATGATTTCCACTTAGAAAATAGAGATGGCCCTTCACGCCCCAGACATTAGGGTTCTGAGAAAGTAAAGAACAAGTAGTACCTGGGATGAGGTGTATTTAAAAGTCCATTAATGATCTTTATTTAACATTTAAAATTAGACTAAGTCCTTCTTCTTTTTCTAATAGCACTCAATTAGAAAGAGGGCCATTCCGTTGCACTGGTATTTTTCTAGGTCTGCTCCCTCATTTCTTTCTGGCATTTTTCAAAAATATTTTGTCTTTGGGGTAAATATTAAGAAAAATATTCAAACATAACCAAGAGAATGTTCATAATAAGAAAATAGAAGAAGTCCAGAAAACTTGAAATAGATCAATTATCTGCTAAAAAGCTAGCCTTATCTTTTTCTCTGCTCTTTGTAAAACTCATAACTGCTTGAGAAAAACAGATGGAAGGAAATAGATGAGTTTACTATAAGTTGATGACCTCCACCTCCGGTAACCAGAAATCTACCTGTGATATGGCATCACAACCTTTAAGAAAGGCTGCTTGCCCGTCCTCCAAACTATACTCAAGAGGTTCTAGCAAAAGTTATTACCAGATAGTCCATCTGGGCTGCATGTTGAAGGTATTCCTCTGCCTTGGCAAAGTCCTTCTTGAGAAGGTGTGTCTGGGCCAGCACCAAGTAATACTCACAGCTGGGGCCTCCTTGAGGGCATAACAGCTCATGTGCAAGCACTCTGTGCACATACTACGAGGAAAAACCAGATTATAAGGAATATATAAATAGCTGCATTGTGTCAGTTCCATAGCTCTTGCAGTTGAATATTATGTCCCTGATAATAATGAATAAGAAACATATTATAGAATGAAATTATATGAACTTCAAAAGGTTAGAGGTGAATTATGAAGATTCAGCACATCATGGTTCCATTACCAGCTATTCACCTAGTCACCAAATGTAGACATTTCCAAGTGAAAAATCTGCAGTACTGCACAATTCTGGTCTTGCTGGTCAGCATACTAGATGAGTTTTTGCATGTATATGTTATGCGGCGGACAAAAGCATTTCATCAACCACTCTACTGACACAAGAGGTAACATATTCAGGCAGGTGTAATTATTGAGGAAACTTAGTGAGGCAAAACCTCCCTTTCTGAAATTCTAGACTCAGGATCTTAGAAACTCTTGTTTCTGACAAACTCTCATCTATGTTCTCCAGTTTTATACTTTGGGCTACTCTTTGTTTATAATGCTATATAAGGCTTGCAAATTTAACAAAGTCAGTTGTACTTGCTAAGCAGAGGAGGAAGCCCTACTTTTCTTCTCCCTCCATTCCCATCTTAGCCTATACTATAGAAACTCCCATTAACACTTATACCTTCTTAGAAAAATAGTGGAAGGAGGTTCTGGAGCTGTTCCCTCTACCTACATTTCTGGCTCTTTGCATGGGGAGGTGGGGATAGTGATTTATTTAATCCAGGAGACAGAAATGTTTCTCTTTTGGGAAAAGTTAATGTGTTAAAAGTTCCTATTTAGTGTCTGCTGGTGGTGGCCGCATCGGTGTCTGGTAGAGGAGTGGGAGTTGGTGGCTGCGGCCTTTGGGCTGGGATGAACCGCGCTCTCGGTGGAGGCTGGGGAGCCGAGCCAGAGCCATGGCCAGTACAGTGGTAGCAGTTGGACTGACCATTGCTGCTGCAGGATTTGCAGGCCGTTATGTTTTGCAAGCCATGAAACATATGGAGCCGCAAGTAAAACAAGTTTTTCAGAGTCTACCAAAATCTGCCTTCAGTGGTGGCTATTATAGAGGTGGGTTTGAACCCAAAATGACAAAACGAGAAGCAGCATTAATACTAGGCGTAAGCCCTACTGCCAATAAAGGAAAAATAAGAGATGCTCATTGACGAATTATGCTTTTAAACCACCCAGACAAGGGAGGATCTCCTTATATAGCAGCCAAAATCAATGAAGCTAAAGATTTACTAGAAGGTCAAGCTAAAAAATGAAGTAAATGTGTGATGAATTTTAAGTTCTTGTTAGTTTATGTATACAAGTGCTAGCTTTTTATAATAAAATGCCTCAAAGCTACAAATTTTAAGAATGATTTGGCACAAACTAAACCAAAGCTTTGGTAGAAGTTTCTTTGAATGTGAGGATTTTAAATGAGATTATAGAATATTTGGAGATTTAACATCCAGTAATTATAGATACCACTTGAATAGAAATTAGACCGTCTCTGGCTTTGAAGGAGCCCCCAATCTAATGGGATAGTGAAAAATTGGTAATTAAAATACAATGTGATATTAGGATGAAATTTGCATAGGTTGTTATAGGAGGGATTCATCCTATTGGGAGAAAAGGTTGCTCAAAGTTGAGAAAACCAACCCCACTGCTTGGAACCTTAAATTTTAAAAGTGAGTTTAGCCACAACTTTGATCTAAGAAATATATCTAATTATATATAATTGGCAGAATTTAGATTTCATACATTAAAAATTGTTAACAGCATAAGGTTTGACAGTAGAGGTCTTGTTTTTAATCAAGAAATATTTACAATGTATTGAACTAGCCACTTAAAGAAACAAAGTTTATAAATTATTGGGCTTTTTTTATGTAGTAAGTTTTTGCATTTGTTATGACCAAGCTTAAACACAATTAGCAAAACTAAAAACTGAAATGCTCTCATTTATGGAAAATACTCAGCATGGACGATTGGAGAATTTATAAACTCATATATTTAAATAAAAAAAAAAGTTCCTATTTAATGTGGCCCACTCCTAGCCAGGTCATAATTCTTGCCCTTTCTTGAGCTTGCCACCCTCAAGTGGAACATGCACTCTGCAGGATCAGGGCCAACTCTCCTGGTTCCTGGATCTTACTCTCTCTCCTACTGCTTGCTTCATGGATATATTTCTTGTTTCCCATGTGGTAGGTAGACCTCACAGGATGCTCTTCTTCTCTGGCAGGAGGGAAAATTCTCCAGTAGTTCTACCTATGACTGTATGGGTAAGTCAAATCTGGGGCTAGTCACATCTCCAGCCCAGTTATACAGATAAAAAAAATTTAATATTTTTATTCTCTACATAGCACCATGTATCTAATTGTTTACAACCTAGAAAGGAAGAAAGATATGATTAGGTGCCTGTGAACCCCCAACACTCACATAATATGAGTCACTTTATTGTGACATCAGGCTACATAAGCCTTTAGAGTTCAATTTTGCTCTGCTGGTATTCTGAGGGAGCAGTTTGCAGTGAGGTGTTCTGATGCTCTCTGTAGAGAGTGGTTCACATTTGGATGTTCACACCATTAGACCTACAGTGTGCTCTCAAAAGCATATTTGATTTCTTCATCATACATATTAAAGCTTAGAAAGATACCACTATGGATTGAATAAGCAGTTCACTAAAATTTTTCCATCTACTTGCCCTTTTCCAAATATTCTGACCTGAACAGCATTGACTTTCATCAAGAAACGTATGGTCTCCATGAAGATGGTGGCAGGAGTTTGGGAAACACCATGAGGGCTAGGATGCAAAAAGGTTGATGAATCTTGACATTCTGATGTTTCTGAAAACATTTTATTAAAAGAATAGATGATTAGATTTAAAGGAAAAAAAATGTCAGAAGCTCAGACAGTGAGCTACATTACTACCAATGAGCAAGGAGAGTATTCTAATCTAATATATGAGAGAGGTTATAATCTGAAAAGCAACAGATTCCTTTATAGCAGTGGTCCCCAAAGATCTCAAAAGTTCTCAAGGTTAGTCTACTGGTGGTTCCAAATGCAAGTTACAACCAAATTAAATGGTTCCTGGATGTGAAACACAACCTGTAGATATTCTAAAAATGAAGAATCATTGTTAGAAAATCGTAAGTCTATAGTTAGCCACTTCTCTGAGCTAAATATAAATCCTTGCTTATTGAAAGGGTTGCACAACTGAGTTAGGATTATCAGAGCCTAGCCTCATACAAAGGAACTTAGGCAATATGACAAACTAATCAACTTTAAACAAGTTAAGATTGCCATTTTGGTAATCATAAGAGTTTTCATCCTTGTCTAGTTTGTTTATGCCCTTCTTTCAAGTGGAAATCTTTATTCCTAAGTACCTTTTTTCACTGGTATCTCCTTGAGAAGTATGTTGGATGGTTTTTGGGTGACAGTTGGATCCTGAGATTGTGTGGGTAAAATGTGTTCTCGTGAGTCAGACTGCAGTTTGGAAGATTCTTCAAGAAAGTCATCTAGAATGGATGATGGAGCTCCTGGTCCTAAATTGATTAAACTTTAGTGGGGAAAAAAAAGACCCTTCCTACATTGGATATTAAAAGGTTATTACAGGAGATAAAATACAATTATTTTCAAAGCATAAGAAACATATTTCCTAAATATTGCATGGACAGACTTGTTTTATTGACTTTTTATATATTTTTTAAAGATTTTATTTTTAAGTAATCTCTACACCCAATATGGGGCTTGAACTTATGACCCTGAAATCAAGAGTCACATGCTCCACTGACTGAGCCAGCCAGGTGACCCAGACTTTTTCTATTTCTGAATAATTTAAAGAGTACAAGCTAAACCAACAGCACAACTTCTACAACTATGACCCCTAGGTCTAACCCTGCTGCTAGCCTAAGTCATAATGATGTCAAACAAATACCTATTATAAAAGTTATTTGCTAAGCCCAGAATGTCACGAATCCGAATGAGAAGGTTAATATATTTTTAGATTAAATTAAAACTCTTGAAGGACAGGAATTCTGTTCATCTTAGTGTTCAAAAATCACCATCATCATCATTTTAAGTAGCTATATTTGAGCATGACTATATGCCAGGAATTGTACTAAAAATTGTACTAAAAACCTTAATGTATAATTTCATTTATTTTTCACAACATTCGCTATGCTCCTTTAAACAAAGTGAATCATAGAGAAGTTAAATAATTTGCTGAAGCTCTTGAACATGTCTTGCTGCCTCTCAAATAAATAAATGTTTGATGAGTAAAAATAAAAAGCAATGCCAGGCAGGAAATGAACAGTGCCAGTTGGCTCCCAATCAGAAGAGGTCACCCTCAGCTAGAGCAAAAGACATGGCTTTGAAAAACGGCTGGAAGTTGGATAGGTAGAGGGGGAGGGGCACTTAAGGCTGAGAGCATGCTATTGGAAAAAGCACAGAAGTAGTGAGCTAATTATTTTAATGGGTATTGAGGATTACATAGAGAAAATTAAGGGAAAGACTGGTTGGGGCTAGACTGTACTGACATTTTAATGTTAGGATTTTTCTTCTGTAGACAAAAGGAGAAAACAATGAAGAGTTTTGAACAGAAAAATTAGAAAATGAAAGTGATATCTTATGAAGATTACTCTAGTAGTGCTATGTAGCAAGGAGAAAAAAGTACAGAGGTACTACAAAGAGGTTTGTAACAAGGCTGTTACAACAATCTAGATATATGGTAATGAAGAGTAGTGGAAGTTTAAAGGGAAGATGCAAGGAGCATTTTGAAAGAGAACCAGATAGTCTTGAGAATTAACCTGAAATAGGGATGGGGGAAGTTCAATCTAGAAAGGAAGAGGAAACAGGGATGACTTTGAGATCATGAGCTTGGGTGCTTAATACAGCAATGTAGAGTCAATTTAGGAGATAAGGAGTTGAGTTTACTAGTAGAAAAATCCAGCTTCTGGGTTCTGGAGGGATGTCAGGGCTAAATATAGAAATTTGAGAGTTATCAGTAGTAAAATGGGAACTGTGAGCACAGGTGAGCTCTTAGAAAGTAAGACTATATTATTGGGAGATGATTACCTCTAATGAGTAGAGAAGAGAGGCTAACAAAGGAAACCCAAACTGTTGGGAGATGTAGGAGGCAATGCCACATGTATTTCAGGAAGGAGAGACTGATGATTGAGGAGTAAGTGATGATCTTAGGGAAAAATATTAATATTCAACTTCTCTGAGGTATAATTTACATATAATAAAATGTTCCCTTTTAAGTGTGTACTTCAGTGCATTTTAACAAATGTATACATTTATGTAATCACCATCACAATTAAGATACAAAAGATTTCTAATATCCCAAAAAGCTCCCCTGTGTTCTTTGAAGTTAATCCTCAACTCCCAGCCCAAGGCAACCATTAATCTGCTTTCTATCAATACAGGTTAGTTTTGCCTTTTCTATAATTTCATTTAATGGAATCATATAATATGTACTCTTTTGCATCTGGCTTATTCACTTAGCATAATGTTTCTGAGATTCATCCATGTTGTATGTATCAGTAATTTGTTTCTTTTTTATTGTTGAGTGGTTTTTGATTGTGTAGATAAGAGAAAATTTATTATACCTTCATCTATTGATAGGCAGTTGTATTGTTTCTAGTTTTTGCCTGCTATACATAAATCTGCTATGAATATTTGTGTACAAATCTTTGCAATGTTTCCATTTCTCTTCGGTAAATAGCTAGGAGTGAAATTGCTGGCACATGTGTGTTTAACTAGTTTTAAACTGCCAGCTTTTCCAAGTGGTTGTTGCCATTTGGCACTCCCACCACAAATGTTTGAGAATTCCAGCTACTCTACATCCTTGCCATAACTTAGTGTTATCAATTTTTAAAACAATTTAGCTATTCTAGTGGTAAATTGCATTGATTTTCAAATGTAAGACCAAGCTTACAAACTTAATTCAATTGGATATATTATCTTTTATATATATTGCTAAATTTTATGTAGTAATATTTGTTAAGAATTTTTGTATCTAGGTTCATGAAGGCTATTGATATGTACTCTTCTTGGGATGGCTTTGTCTGGTTTTGAATATCACAGTGACAACTATGGTCAAACTGTGGGAAGTATCCCCTCTTATATTTTCTGAGTCTATGGTAGGAATGGGGTAGGCCTGGAGTTTTCTTTCTTTTCTTTTTTAATTACATATTTAACTTCCTTATGCGAGTAGGACTATTCAGATTTTCTCTTTCTTCCTGAGTAAGCTTTGTATGTCTGTCAAGGTATTTACATTACATTCAAATTTACTGGCATTAAGTTATTAATAATTTCCCTTATTATCTTTCTAATATCTATAAGATCTGCAGAGGTGTCCCCTCTTTCATTCCTGATATTGGTACTATGTATC